CACACACACACACACACACACACACAGAATTTGGGACCATTTTCACTATACTCAAATCACATATTCCATCAAGAGTAGTTATCAAAACGTTTCTGTCACAACAGTTTATTCAAACCAAAATGCTGAATTGATTGCAATATGCTGCATTTTTTGTGTGTTGTTTATTTAAAAATTGCTTACTTTATTTGCCGGTATCAGGAAGCCAAGATACTGAATTTATTTGGAAATTTTATGTTTGTATGTATTGTTTATTTAAAAATTAATGCACTTACTTTGTATCAAAATACAATACATATGATGTGAGGTCAAACTCTGATATCATTAAGCACTGTAAGTAGTAAAAATTAGACACAGCCAGTCTTAAGTTTAATTATATTTTATATTTTATTACAAAGGCCTTCAGAATTTTCACTTGTAAATGGACTTCAGTGAATTCATTGATGTAAACTTGAATTTTTAAATTATTTTGGTATAGGACCTGTCTTCAGTGGCTTGAAATATGTCATTCACTAATAGACCAATTTTGGCAGATTGCTTATTAAGATTACCATAATAATTTTAAATCTTCAAAATCTTCTTAGCTTAAAGTTTCCTAAGCTATTTCTTTTATGTTTGAAATCCTGAGAGTAAATATTGTATCTTAAGAGACCAAGATTTTTTAAGTGCTTGAAAAGAAAAATTAGGAAAGGTAGTTGGATTTAAATATACACTTCCGGAATCTCAAGTAGAGTGTATTTGCTAAATAATATAATTTCTTTCCTGAATATTCAAGAATTTTGTATATGTAACATTAAATGTATGACCAGAAAGAAAGTATGAAACCTTATTTTTCATGTACTGATCAGTTTAAATCTATTCAGAATGTTTCTTTGGGTTTCAGTGAAAATTCCGTGTTTAATTTTATTTAATCTCAATTCTGTATTTTATAAAGTACTGTTAATACCTAGGTCTAAATAACTTCAAAAGTTGCTGCATTCTAGAGCCCATTAAAGAATCAAATGAACTTGTAATACTGTATATGCATCCAACCACGTATTCTAGGCTTGATACCCATTTCATTCGTTCTATCACACTGTAAAGATTCTTGTGAAATTTTGTAGGATAATGAAGCTTGTGAGAATGAATATATGTGAGGGACAGGGAAAGTTCTGTGTACCCTTTGATATATTGATTTATGGTAAGTTTTCAACTTTGTTTCCTGAAGTAAATTAAGAAAAATGGAAGGTAGATAAACTTTGTAGCTAAGCAGGCACCACTGTTATTATTCATTGATTTATTTACAACATTAATGTTACAATAGGAAGACCAATTAGCTGTAAAATGGACTTTATACAAAGAAGTAAACAACAACTTAAAGCTGCTGCTTTCAGTTGTATTTGAGAAATTATTAACTTTTGGGTTTGTAGAAGTAACATTTGAGACTACTCAGTTGAAATTTATGTTTGAAACTTCTAGTGGAACTGAACTGAACTTTCATATTTTTAGTCTATACAAGAGATGAAGTTAGAATATACAAAACTGTAATTTTGCCTGTGGTCAGGAGATAGGGGCTAGCTCTATCTATTGGACCCAACTGAGTAGGTTTTACCTGAGGACGGGGACAGAATCCAGTCTCCGAAATGCTGTGTTTCGAAAGAGAAACAGGATGGTTTTTAGAAAATAGACCAGACAATGGATAATGTCCAAAAACATAATACTTGTAACAGTAGACCATTGTCACACACTTTTAGATCCTGTAGACTGAGGGTGTTTGAGAACAAGGTGTTGAGAATATTTGGACTGAAGAGAGATGAAGTGACAGGAGGTTGAAGAAAACTGCATAATGAGGAGCTTCATAACTTGTACTCTTCTCCAAGTATAATTAGAATGATCAAGTCAAGGAGGATGAGGTGGGCAGGGCATGTAGCATGAATGGGTGAGGAAAGTAATGCATATAGGATATTGGTGGGAAAGCCAGAAGGAAAGAGACCATTGGGAAGACCAAGGTATAGGCGGGTTCACAATATTAAAATGGATCTTAGAGAGATAGGATGGGATGGGATGGATTGGATTGATTTGGCTCAGGATAGGGACCAGTGGAGGGCTCTTGTGAACATGGTAATGAACCTTTGGGTTCCATAAAATGCTGGGAAATTCTTGAGTAGCTGCAGATCTGGCTTCTCAAGAAGGGCTCAGCTCCACAAGTAAGTAAGTAATAGGCCATTATCAGGTGCTCTGAATTGAACAATAGAAAAACGTTTGTATGACAACACCACTATTTTTGTTTAAACACCACGAACAGGATGCAGTGCTACATGATCTCAGTTTTTGTTGATGAGTTCTGGGAATGATTTTTTGTCTGATTTCTTTATCAGAATATTACAAACAACTTTATTTAAACAGATTTGTGAGTCCAGAATGTTTGTACAGTATCGTAAAGAAGGCAACATTTTATTTGCCCAGACTTTCATACTTCACTGTTTTTTGTTTAGAAATTATGTACCATACAGAATTGGTGGTGAGGCTTGCATCCTTACATCGTTATGTTATTATTGTAGAGAACATTTGAAGAATATTAATTAAAGAACTGTATTCCACCATCAAATTTTTAATTTAGAATCTCTTCTTATAGGTCTGTAGGCAAGGAGAGGATTAGACTAAAGAATCAAAGGTATGTGCACCAA